TGCTTCCGCATGAGTTAAAAACATCAATTGTGTCAGAGTAGCGATTATAACACTCCGCCGATCTTTGGATCGGGTTTAAGTGGCTAAAATGTCGAGCTATATAAAAAGATGATTGGAGCTGTGTAGGCACACGTGGAACTCTGAGTCTCACCTCGGACAGAAGGCTGGGAGAGTTAATCGAGCCGTGCAGGGTCTTAAACAAAAACAACAAATCTGCCTTCACCCGACGCTGCTGTAGACTCAACAAATTGACAAGTTGCGAGTTACACACACCGTTCAGACGAGGATCACCTTTCTCAAGGTAACGATATTTAAATATAGAAATAAATTTGTTTTGGACTCGCTCGACAGATAAACTGTTAGTTTTTGAAATGCTGTTCCAAACAACCGAGGCGTACTCTAGCTGGGATCTAACTAAGGAACAATACAGCGTAAAAAAAGCGGGCGGGCTTTTGAACTCCTTCGCTATGCGAGAGACGGCACCTAACCTGCGCAAGGCCGATTGAACCACTTTGATAACGTGAGTGTCAAATCTCAGGGATGAATCAAAGACAACTCCAAGGTCCCTCAGTTCACTTACACGTGACAGCAGTTCGCCATGATAACTATATGAAAAGAATACATCATGGGTCTTGTGAGAATATGTCATTATTTTTGTTTTAGAATGATTCAAAAGGAGGTCATTTTCTAAACACCAGCGACCGAAGGAATATGCGTCATTCTGAAGCGCGATGCAATCCTCTAAGGTCGATATTTTTTTGTAAAGTTTTATATCATCAGTGTACTGCAAAAATGAAGAATTTAATATAATTCGAGAGACATCATTTACAAAACAGGATAACTGGGCGAGTTGGTATGGATTCATAATGGAACAGCGCGAATTTTTGCAAGGACAGAGGAACGAACTGGACAGGACGAGCGCTGACTAACAACTGAAAGGTTTATTCTCAAGTAACGGCGTACAGGACTGCGCCTGTACGCCGTTACTTGAAAAAGCCGTTGTTTTGTATAAACACAGGGACCAAAAAGCTCGAGAGATTGTTGAAGCTCATAGAATAAAAAAGGAGGGGTCAGCCTGCGTGAGTCAGGCTTCCTTGAATTTGCTGGACAATGAGGTCGAATTTTTAGATCGGGGATGACGCACATAACATTGTGTAACTGATAGCACCCAATTTTGTGAGGCGCATGCGCATTTCCATCGTGATTAGAGAGTCGTGTTGTCGTATGTTTTTCTTCGTGGTTTCCTGAGAATAAACCTTTTAGTTTTTAGTCAGCGCTCGTCCTGTCCAGTTCCTTCCTCTGTCCTTGCAAAAATTCGCGCTGTTCCATTATGAATCATTTACAAAAATATTAAAAAGGAGGGGGCCTAAGACAGATCCCTGGGGCACTCCAGAGCTTGCCTTGTGCAAGGACGAGGTAGTATTGTTGACGCGGACGTAGGCTTGCCTATCAGACAAATAGCTTTTTAACAAGTTGTATACCGAACCACATACTCCGTACGAGGAAAGCTTGTATAAGAGAATGTTGTGGTTGACTACGTCGAATGCCTTACTCAGGTCGAAATAAAAAACGTCAAGCTAATTTCTATTGCAAACTACTTCAGAGGCAGCAGACATAAAAGATATGAGATTGGTGGATGTCGATCTGCCGGACATGAAACCATGCTGATTAGGAATGACCACACTACGAAACTTGAAGGAGGGTTTATGGATTACCATTTCAAAGAGTTTGGAAAAAGAAGAGAGAAGAGAAATCGGTCTGTAATTAAGAACATCTCCATTATTTCCAGATTTCAGGACCGGAACAACCAGTGCCAGTTTCCAGTCGTCAGGGAATATCCCTGACGTCAAGGAGTTATTGAAAATTGTGCACAGTATAGGCGCAAGTAATTCATGATAAGCCTTAACAATTGCAGCGGGTATCCCATCATGACCTGCAGACAATGTGGGTTTCATTTTCCTAATACATAGCCTAACACATTCCTCATCGACAACCACAGAATCTAATGAGTCACCAAAAACGTCAGAGTGAGGCCAAATAGTCGAGGAGCAGTTATTATTATTAATGTAAACTGACGCAAAGTGATCCGCAAACAACTCAGACATGCCCTTCGCACTGTTGCTATGCTGATTCAAGACGATTTCGGACTCAATATTCTTACCCAAGCGCGATTTAGCGTACCTCCAAAATTTCTTGGGATTTTTAACAAGATCTGATTCTACCGAGTCAGAATGCGCCTGGCGATCACGGTTTAAAATTTTCTTACATCGCTTTCTGGAAATTTTAAATTCAACTTCCCGCTTTGGAAGACCACTTTTCTTAAACCTCCTGTGCAAAAAATCTTTCCGTTTTAAAAGCGTTCTGAGTTCAAAAGAGAACCAGATAGGGAAGCGAGACTTTTTAGACGCTTTAAGAGGGATATATATGTCCATAGCTTTCTGAACAACAGTTGTGAGGAGATATACTAGGCCGTTGATATCAGACGACTCCAAGATAGAAGCCCAGTCAACACCCGAAAGATGGTGATACATTCCAGTGTAGTCCCCCGCTGAATACTTATATGATGTGTGTGGGGAAGGACCATTAGAGGGACTGAGGACCGCAGGATCAAAAACAGAAAGAACTGCATCCAGAGCAGGGTGATAGCTATCCTCAGGAGCCGTAGAAAGTTCACTTCGAGCCACACGTATACCATTCGTGTTTAAAAAGCATAAATCTAAAGCATTACCTTGATCGTTTAGAATGATATTAATAAATAAATAAATAAAACAATAATAATAAAACACTTTTTTTATGACACTTAATGGGTGAGCGCTCGGAGCGTCTGCTTTGAACTTGACAGACGCTGGCTAGAACAGCGCGCCAGCGATCTCTCCGCTTCGACGGATACGTAAAACCCTTATGTATCCGTATAGTTTTGTGCCTTTGAGGCACAAAATTATAGGATCAATAACGAAGCAGTGCCTAAGCAAGACGCGTAGCGCCAGTGTCAAGTTCTACGTGACGTGGCGCTTTCGGAAAGGGACTTCAAAAAAGTGAAAGCCGTTTACAACTCCCTGTAACGCAGAATTGGAGCGCAGCTTTTGAGGAGGAGGAGGGAAGGGTACTGAGGGGAGGGTAGACCCCTCCTCCTCCTTCTCCTCCTCCTTCTTCTCCCCTCATTCTTTAATATGCTCCCCGGGGGGATCACCTGACCTCGGGGGGAGGGGGTCATGTGACCTGGGGGGTCACGTGACTTCGGGGAGGGGGAGAGGTGGGTCACGTGACCTCGGGGAGGGGGCCACGTGACCTCGGAGGGTCACGTGACCTGGGGGGGTCACGTGACCTTTGGGGGCCACGTGGGGGTCACCTTGGGGGGTCACGTGACCTCGGGGTGACGTTGGGAGGGGTCACGTCACCTTGGCAGGGGTCGCGTGACCTTGGTAGGGGTCACGTGACCTTGGGGGTCACATGACCTGGGGGTCACGTGACCTTGGGGTGACCTTGGTTACGCCGACGGCGACGCCGACGCCGCTCAAGCCGGAACGGGCGCCTAAGAGCTGCGCTCTAAAACAAGCATGTCTTCCGTAGTGAAGTATGGGAAGCCGGGCCCGCGACAGGGCTGCCATTTGTCGCATATCAGGGAACCATCTGGTGGCGCCGCTTGCAACCGAGGCGAGGACAGGATTACCTGGCAGCGTACGACGCGCGAGGCGTCCACACAAGTATACAAGTGTTTTTTATCAAATATGAATTAAGACAAAAAGTCCGTAAAAGCTGCATAAATGCCGTATGTGAGTTATTAGGCCAGGCGTTTATTATGGTCAAGAGAGAATCCAACTAAAAGATGACTAATTAACGAAAATTCACTAACTCCTTTCCTAATTAGACATATTTAGGCAAATGTTTATATTGCAGAAATGAAGGCGATCAAAGTTGAAAGCCAGCCCAGTTTTCAAAAATCCTGAATTGAGCACGCAGTTGAAGTTATTCATTGTCAATGTTCGTTCTGGAAATATCTCGATACCAAAAAGAAGAAACGCGCGATGTCCGCCAGAAGGATAACCCTCATTTGACCCGGGAAGGACAATTCTCGTTTGACCTAGCCGCATCATAAACGAAAGCGGAAATACAAAATTTCTAATAAATCGAAAGATGCGTAGTGTCACATTGTAAAACAATTTAAACATTCGCACATAAAATAAAATTAAATAAAATGACCTAATCTAAACTTGCGAAAGCTCATTGAAGCCATTAGTTAGGTGGACTCAATTGCGAAAGTAGACTCCTGCGAAATAAGGGTAATGGAGGAGGCTAGCCGAAGCATGGGCATACTTATGAAACCCCAAGGCAAGGGTAAACAACCACAAAGAAATAGAAAAAGGGACAACGCAATGACGTTTCAAAACATGGCTGCCTCCAACACTCGGAAGCGTCTGAATATCAGCCTCTGTGACACAATTGCACGTCCCTTTAATGCGACCTTCAGTAAAACTCGCAAAAGCAGGCTCAAATATAAAGTTTCGGGCTAGAAACATTGTAATACACCGAGCAAGAGAATTGACGCAAACACGAAATCGTCGTTGATTTTATACTTTACTTATATAAGACATTGAAGGTCATCAACCTTCGCCACTCAAGTAGAAGTTACTAATGAGCCATGCCCAGTGCACGACACGTTTGAGGATGTATTGATACTTACAAAAATAAAACAATAAATATCGTCGATTGCTTCTAGGTGTTACCAGCATCGCGCTATGTCCGACCTTCATATCTCAGTGATCCTGGTTGCAATTACTTCTTGAGAACGGATATTAATTTCCGGCACAAGAATATTATCAAAACATTTACTTGTCAGCAGTACATGCGGTGGCAGATATGCTGCCGTACGGAATAGGATGCGAGGGCTGTAATATAAGATTACCAGAAGGGGCCTAAGGATGTTGATAAAAAAAAAAAAAAACTCTTTCGGGTATTTCCCTTTGCGGCGTTTACTATAAGAAGAGCTCGAGGCGGCGCGTCTTCTCGCAATTTCTCACGTTGCTGCGATTTGCTGCAATCACGATCAAGATTGTTCCAGCTTGATCAGGTGAGAATGTTCACATAGTTGTGGCCCAATACAGCATGTTTTTGTTTCTAAGTATAAGTACTTGAATAAGTTGTTCTAATCAAGGTAATTCGAGGTTATCCTATTTTGTGCTTGCTTCTTCTTTTGGGAAGGGCGATTCTGAATAATGTTTTTGGTCTGATATGAAGAACGTCTTACGAGTTTTGTTTGAAAGTTCCGAATACGTGGTATGTATTTGTAAATTTAATGGAAATGTTTAAGTTCCTATACCGGCTGTTTCAGCGAAAACTTACAAAATTTCCTACAATTAGTGTATTGGAGATAAAATATTAATTTTCTTAGGACCGTAATATTCGTGGTGTCGGACTTTAAAAAATTTAAGATACGTACTAATTTGTTCGCTAATGACTAATTAATTTTTTGATTAGTGAAAATAGACATATGCGTTCAATTAGGAACTTGCTGAGCGTCATCGAAAATCACTAAATGAGTAATTTGAAGGAAGAATTTGAGCAGGGAGTAGTAGTGCTCTAAAGTTACTACTGGTGGAGCAGATACAAGGCTGGCGGCTGCTGCGAAAAGGCGCCCGTGCAATTTTTCCGACTCTTCTCAGAGTCCCAGTCTTCTACATGCTCCACAAGTGGTAACTATGACGCACTACTACGCTTCACACGTGCTAAACGACATTCTGAAAATTACTAATTTAGTGGTTTTCGATGACGCTCATCAAGTTGTTATTTAAAACCATATGTCAAATATCTCTAATTAAAAGTTCGTTTGTAATTTTTGCTTAACTAGTTAACTAATAAGTAAGTATCACACGTTTTCTGACGTCCATCGCTACGAATAACGCATACCCGAAACAAACATATTTTACCTAGAATACACACATTTAAGGATTTTTTGTCAGTCTTCGCTGAAACATCCGATATATTGTTTGTTTGATAAGAAGATAAGACAAGGAAAGATCTGCCAGTCACTATTGTGTCACTTTGAAGAGGATCTTTTTCCAGGTCCTTCTTACTAGCCTACGGCTACAATAGTTTCTTTGCTCCAACTATTTATTTTTATACTGGATAAAAAAGCAGAAAAGACACCTTTATTTATCCCCAATGGACCTTACATTGGTTGCCCCTTATGACGAAAACCTTTCACACTTCAGAAAATTACACACACAAAAAAAAACATAATGTTTTAAATGTTCGGAAAATATGATTTATTATATTCCTTGTTTTATATCAATAAAAATATTCTCTCGCAACCGAACCAGATTTGAACATTATATAACAGACAGAATAAAACCGTAACCATGTACTTATGTTTCGAGCTCATAGAAGCATGAACGCAACACAAATTCGAGCTCTTGTATTATCTTGCAGGTCGAAGTATCTCCTACATCATGCCTTGTATTGCTGCCTCATCTGCGGTACTCTTAATGCTTCCGTATGTGATACTTGGAAACATCATTGACAGTTCCAGAGGTATGTACAAACGCTTCCATATCTAGGGTTTTAATTTTTTTTGTGTGTTTATTGCATTGAACGCTAAAATCGTTGCTTGAGAAACGTTGGTACCACAATTGAAAGAAATGACTACTACTTTGAGTAGGACCGTGAAGATAAACTTCTAAGAACTACGTAGGGTCTTCAATTATTTACCATTTTGGCTTGGAGAGAAGTAGGAGCTGAATGGCATAATAATCTGGGGACTAAATATTGATGCCGACAATCATACTTAATTATTTTAGCGTCGGAAATCTAGACGCCACGGAAAATTTGTGAAACGCATATTCACTAAAAGAGTATTAGTGCAGTTTACAGCAGAACCCTGGGTATTAAGGATCACCTGCTGGAATTACAGCAAGGCAGATCAAAGCGAAACATTCTTGCCTCTAGCAACGTGAGCCGAAAATATGGTAGCGGATAGAAAATGCTCGAGGAGCGTATACCGAAAATAAAGGTTTAATCGACAAACTTGTGCCAGAAACAAAAGAAAGAACGCGCGTCGAGAAAGCGGCGTCAGCGCTCGTCTTATCAACTGCAATCGGTACCTCGAGTATTAGGCATAGAATGGTCGGGAGAGAACTAGGGCGAGACTGACATGGCAAGATCCTACTGGCCTCCTTATCTTTTACCCTCAGCGTACAAGTGGAACTCGAATCCTCTAGAGGTGAGGAGAAGCGTTCCACCTCGGTCATGCACGCGACAGTATGTGGCACACAAATTCAATTATTTCCAAGTAAATTATGTTTCACTGGGAACAATGTGCTAGATTGGCTCAACGTAGAGAGTGAGTGAAATTCTGGATAAAGTGCTATATATAAAATGCCTCGATGTCTACAATAAGGCCTAGATATTTTTGAAGGCTCATATCTTGGCGGAATTACTCGAATACCGTTCTAGTGAAGAAGAGAAGTGTGGTTCTTCCAGGCACGATACGTATAGAAATAGTGTAATTATGTGCATTTAGAAAAAAAAAGCAAAAGTATTTTGAAGAAACTTTGTACGGTAGGTGATAATTTGGGGCTGGATATTGACAGCTTCGAATTTCGAAGGGCAGAACAGGTCACGATTTTGTCTAAAAGAGATTATTGAGAGTCGTTATGTATGTAGAATATTTATTTTCAAATTTATAACTAGGTTTACTTACGTTTGGCAGCTGCAGAAATAATAAAAAAACGAAAACAAACGTGATCGCGGAATAGTAGAGCGTGTTGAATCATAAACTCTCCCCGACCGAATTGTTTAATTTAAAACGTGCTTTGGAGTGTTAGTTTCAATTAACGCAAATTCTTATAACGCAGATAATTGTAACTCCCAGTAGTGTCGTACAAAATTAACCAGTATCAAAATGCGTGGAAGTGTTTGGTTTTGAACTTGAGTACTTGCGGTTGTGAATCCGGTGGCGAACGAACTGGCGCTGGAAGCCCAAGAGAGAAAAGCGAGCTCGAAATGTTTTCTCAAGGCACAAGCACGATAAGATAGTGAGCAAAAAGCAAACAGTAAAAAATATGCGATAAATAAAAATAAAAAAGCAACGAGGCACGAAATAGCATGGTCAAAACTGGGGCATGCGACCGGAAGTGACGTAAACTTTGCACTCCACACCCTGTCGATCACTGGTTTTTGCAGAGCTTCCTTTTCACACATGCCACGCACGATGACGTTCACTATTTCGAGGCACAGAATGCGAACCACGTTCATCCGTGAAACATTACTGTAAGGTAACGAACAATACATACTGTGTTACCGCTGCCCGTGTCGCGAGAGCGCGGGAACGGGCGAATTCTTTTTAGTGTTTTTTATCTTAAATTCTTAAAGATTTAACTGCCAAAATTTGCTTAATCTGCTAAAATCAATAACACCTCTAACACCTCTGAACCATAGAAAGCAGACTTCATTCTTATATTTGAATTGCAGGTGACTGCGACACCCTGGACCGAGACTTGGAGTTGAAGCTAAACCAGCTTTTCAGTCTTCTTCCGAAAGCTTACAGCGATACTCAATTTGGCGGTACCAAGATTGGAAACGATCTGCTTACCATAGGCAACGCTACCATCACCCACCTGAATCGACTTGAACCGTCCAGCAAATACCAAGTCTTCTGCACAAAAGACGAGAGGAGAATCATTGCAAACCTTCGTTCCGATGTCCTTGAGATTTCCTATCCCTGGAAGGTCTGCTCTGGAGACCAAGGCCGTATTTCCACGGTGAGCCCGATGGTGGGCCTAGAAGTTGTATTTCTTGTCAGGGAGACAGACCAAGGTACAGCATTGATGGTATCGAGAGTGACGCCTTTATTACTGGAAGGGATCTTAGTGCATTTCTTTGGTGCAGGGATGTTACCGGCCGCAATCGTTAGTATGGCTGTTAACTTATTCCCGGGACCTTTCAGGTACTACTGGGTGATGGTCATGCCAGAGTTCGTAAAGAGAGCTCTTATGGATACCCTCGCTCAGATGCAGTAGGTTCTCATTGTAAGCCACCGAGAGCAGAAATATAGATATATGCTGCAAATTCTAAGATTAGTGGAAGTTTGAAACGTTGTACGTCCCCTCGCGAAACAGAGATTCCTATGTTGTATTCAAGGCTGTTTCTCTCATAAGGGGTAATTTCTTTTGTAATTGTTGGCGCGTGGATAAAGGCGTCATATATTAGAAGTTTTATACCCGGCTATGCAGCATTTGTCAAAATATATTTATTGAAACACTGGCTTTTTTGTCAAAATAAATTGATTTTTTTTGCTACAAGATTTTGTCGCACTGAGTTAATATACAATACTAAATATCTCATACACTACGACGAGGAATGTGTGGAATATTTGGAGAACATTGTTGTTGGAAATACTGCACAAAATCAATAACATATTTTCTGCTATTAGTGAAGCAAGAGACATTGTCTGAGTAAAAGAAAGGCCGGACTTAATTGGTACCACGGTCATCAGATGGGCAAATACACATTTAGAAAATTGTAATTTTCGTTTTCCAAATTTACGAAATGGCCCGTGACCGCAGGCGCAGGTTTAAGGGGTTTGTTTTACAGTGCGCCACCACTCATTGTCACCGAACTGATCGCTCCTGCAGCATCTAACCCTCCAAGGCCATCAGCTGGTGCGTGCTACGTGCAGGACAGAGCTCGCCTTTTTTAAATTCATGCTACACCCACGCGAAAACGCGAGCACGCCAGAACAAACCTGTCTTCTTATAACAGGGTCTCCACAACTACAACTACGTTTTCTTACGCGTCGGAGGTGCCCGTTAGTCTCCGACGCAAGCTGGCGTGCGTCGGGATACGCACGCCCAATCAGCCGCCTGAATATACCTTCGTGTAAGCCATCAAAACCTGCTCCTCGACCACGAGCAACAGTGTTAAGACTGTCCGTTGAGACGACTCCAGCCCCAAAGAAGGGGCTATGCGGAAAGGGCCATATTCACTGAAGAAGAAGATACAGCGTGAAATCAAAAATACATTCAGTTGCGATCGAGATTCAGGGCTGGCCGTAGTCCCTTCTCCTGCAGCCACTCAGTTCGTTTGCTTACTGAAAGTATTGATGCCAAAACGTGCCGCAATAAACTTCATAAAAAACAGTTCATAGAGGTGTGTTGGATTTCGATGATTCCGGTGAGGTTTGTGCTGGGTTTATACATATTTATAAATAAAGAAATGCGTTGTAGATCGAAGTTTACACCATGTGAAAGGGAGGATAACTTTGACCTGTGTTTGCTACACAGGAGAGGCAACAGATAAGGAAGCACATCTCGGTGTATGGATAAAAACGTATTACTTGCGGAGGGTGGAACACAAAGCAAGCACGAACTCGAACCTGAACCGTAACACGATCTGAAATTCTTTCAGGAGATAATGCTTGTCGATCACCATAACCGTAACGAAAGTAATAGATCTCACTTTGTTTTATTTATTCCACCTTGTAAGACTTCCCTCGCTTTTACCCGCCTCGGATATGACAAAACGGTGGTTTAACAGCACGTAGTCATTTATCATCTGTTATTGCCGACGCCCAGATCCAGAAAGCCTCACGCATACTTCGGCGCGGGCAATTTATCAGTAGTGGAGCGCCGCTGTCGTGGCCGATAACGCCTTGCAACCTTCGAGGTTGGAATCACGAGATATGCACTTACAAGGACTCTCAATCGGTTTCAATTGAGTTTCTCATGTATTTTAGTAAAATACGTCAGAACCTCAATTGAAACTTATTGATAATTAGTGTAAGGGCGATTTAACATGCAGACAACCTAGATGAACACTGTGGATCACAATGTCGCCCGTTATCTTAAGGACCCTTTAGAGGCATTACATCTCCATTTGTCATTATCATGACCTGAGCAAGAACAGGTAAAAATTAACCTATACCAGATGCGGTAAATGGGTTAGGCACAGTTTTTACTAATACGAAAAGGAAACCTGGGGGTGGGACCTTGAGCTGCAACGGAGGCACTTTCATCCTGCCATTAATTTCCGGTAATCAGGTTCCCGTTCTATAGAGGGTCAATTTAAACTAGGATTTGGCATTGATTGCAATTTTTAACCCAAATATTTGGAACCCCTTAATCGATTAATTCATCGATTAATATGTTTTTTTTTCATTCCCACCCGTAATAGTTAAAAAATCAAAATTAAAAATGTCGCCTTCGCTGAGATTGTGATAATGACGCAATGTACCATTTCAGATTTTAAATCCAACTTCCTGTGTAGTTGAAAACCGTCAAACGTCACCCACACTCACAAATGAATACTACAGCCGGAGAGGCTAAGAGGTTCGTTGACAGTCTCCGAAAATAGCAACTTCTCTCTTTGTTCACAGTAGTCTCGGCTTCGCTAAAAACACAGTCACGCAGCATCGAATTCGCTGGGACACGTATAACCTTCTCAACTTGTTTGGAATTACAGTCGCGCCATACAGTTTTGTTTAGGTTAAAATTCCTCCTAAAGTTTGCCTTCATACATGCGTGCTCGTCCACGTGCGCGTGGTGAAAGCGTTGAGTTTTACAGCGGAGCTGTTAAGGGCTAGGTTCCCTAGGATCGTGTCCGGTACCAAACCGATGTCGACACAAACCTACACAAACCTCTAAACAGCTACCGCCATCTATAAGCAACGGCCGTACCCAGACAACCAGTCTGGTTGCCGCCGTCGCTCATAGATGGCGGCAACCTTTCCAGCTATCATAGAAGAATGGATAGTTGGGCGAGTTGGTGGTACTTCATCGTAGGAAACAGCGCAAAAAACTTCGTCCTCGTCTGTTCTGCACGCTGTTTCCTACGCTCTTATCGGTTTCGGTTTGGACTCACGATGGGTCGGCCGCGTGCCCTTTCGTCGGGGATAGAAGTCCGGATGCGGAAAGAGCGGCGATGTACGCAGCAACAGCTCCGCTGCACTTTCTTCTTCACCAGAGTGGAAAGGCTGAAGTTCTTTTTACTTTTTGTTTGTTCGTCAAAATGTAGCTGATTAGCAGATTAAAAAGTAGTCGCGATTAAAGCATTTATTAATTAATGTGTAGCTTGTTTGATCAAGTGCCCAACCCTAATTTTAACTATCACAATAGTAGGCAACCAAGCTTCGGGATAATTCGTAATTAATACTATAGGTTCTATTGAGTCAATCGTGTGCTATGACTATTTTGTTTACAGCTTTCTTCAGCGTACGGTCTTAGACATTATACGTTCTTATAATCTTGAGGTGTTAGGTCAATTACGTTAAGCTTATGTCCTCCCAACTACCGGCGTTTTTTACGTGCAATATAAACGATCATATAAATGCACCATCTGTAAGAAATCTGGCTTTAAATCTCAATCTAAATTGAGCAACTCCTCAGGAATAAGTTTTAAAGCTGTAAAGTCTATCGTAAGCTTCGAAATCTATTTTGTGGTTAACTATCAAATATGGCTAAGCTCTTCTTTGTTAAATAATGTTGCGTTTTTAATATTGACAGGGTGTTATTTGCATGTTCAACCTGTGAGACGGGGTAACAACAATCAAACTAGTTTGTGTGATTGAAATACATTGAAGGGATAGGCACACATATACGCAACGAACAAGTAAAAGAAACGAACAGTAGTCGGCCCGTAAGAAAAAGTGAACACGACACCCTTATGTACAACGAGCTCGCTGCTATCTCGGCTGTAGTCGGAGGCCACTAGTCGGGATAATGAATATCAGCCTTGAGAACTTCTCAAAGCTTCGATGATAAGGAATGCCAATTGCAGAGCCACATGCAGACTTTTGCCTATCTCAAATGCTCTACTCGAGATACTGCATTTGAATCACTTCTGAAAATAATTTGTTACTTGCAGATACCTTTGATCGTGAGTATTTGCAGCTCAATCTTACTTCCATTTCTCGATATCTGCACACATTATCTAAAACACTATTTTAAATATCTGAAAAAAATTTTGGCGGAATATATTACGGGATTAGTAACCTACATACTCCAGCAGCGCAAAGTTGAACCGATCTCAAACTTGAAGCGGAAACGACCGAACAATGAACGAGAAACGAACGCAGAACCGAAGATCCAGACTCAAAATGCAAATGAAGCAATAAATTAAAAAAAATGAGAAAATTACACAAAAAATACTCACTTTTGCTTTTGAATTCTTTTATGTTTGACCTTGCTACGGACAAAATCGCGAGAGCCCGGCCCTTTGATTAGAATAGCGATTGGAGTATGATTGGAAACAAGCTGCGAGCACGATGAGCTCTCGAAACAGAAACACTGAGTCCTCCCAAAGTTGCACGCCTTTTTGAAGTGGTTCCTAGAGTTGAGAACGAAGAAAGGATACAGAAATTGATAACGTCGAGGAAGACAGTAGTGCATCTTTGTGTCCATCTGTGACTTTTTTAAAGTTTGGCCATTTCTCAACGCGACGGTTGGACGGTTGGGGCACCGGACTTGCATAAGGTGCGGCATCTCCTCCATTCATGTTATTCTGTCCTTATTTGGCGTATAATATAAATCTTGATTAAAATCCACTGGGAATATAGTGACTAGCGGCGCTTTTTAAAGCGATGCTTCAGAAGCGAACTTTATAAAACCACATAAGAATGATTATTAGCGAAGTGACCATAGGTAGAGTTTCCACTGTTGGCTCATTTTTCTTAAATATATTTTAGCAGGCACAAGTGGCGTATACTCCTTCTACTGGAGGTGCATAAGATAGCACAGTGATTTCATTTTGTTTGCTTCTGTTGCGTTGAAATAAAACATTCTAGTATCACAGGACTCGATGAAAATTAGGGAATGCGGAATTATCTTCGGAAGTAATTGAATCACATTTGCGAAGGATTAGTACTCTATTCAAGACATTTTGCCAGGAATGTAACTTGAGTAGCATTCTAAATACTTTACGAAGCAGGTACTTCGTAACTTAACTTAAATACTTTTTTCAAGTCTCTTGACTAACACTGTTCACACGTGACCTCATGCACAAATATATGGAGTCGACGCCGTCCCCATGTCGGAGGAACGGAGAGCTAATAAAATAAAAGCGCGTCCAGCCAAAGCATCCGAGGGTCAGTGGGCCTTTTTAAGAATTTATAAAGCAACTGCTGAGCGATCATGGACAAGAATAGCGTTGTCGATACGTTGAAGGGTATCAGGTTCTTATGGTACTTGAAAGTTTATGCGCCAAACCATACAACGGATGTTACTCTGTTACCAAGAAATATAATCAACGAAGGACATCAACAGAAATAACAAACTGTTCATGCGACTGTTTACAAGAGCCGCGGCGCAA